GCCCGGTGAAGTTGTCGGGTACCCGGTTTGCAGGCAGAGGTGAGGAGGACATGGCTGGGGTGGAGCAAGCAGAGGAGAAACTGGGCGGTTGAAGGAGGGGAGGCTAATGGACACAGTTCAAATAAAGATTTTATCAGGAACAGAGTTTATTTTTGTCCAGACAAAAAGTGTCCGCAGCTCAGCTCTCGTTTGCTTTGTCACAGAAAAGAAAGCATGTGAATATTGTATTTACATATTCATATACATACATATGTCTACATCTTACAGATTTACATAAAACCTCGTTCACATAACGGCGCATAGGAAGCCTGCTAAGCAACTGTGTATGTGCACCCCGTTTGCTGCGTACTGCTTGGCACGCTTCCTGACCCACGGCTGTTCGCGGTGCTGTGGGACCCCGACTGTTCCCAGGCGCTGGAATGCGACTCGCAGGGGCGTCCAATTGCTAAATTGTCAGCGTGCTCCCTGGCACGTTCTTGGCCCATGCAGCCTCGCGCTCTGCTGAACATTTCCTGGTCGTGCTCCATGAATTAGCACAGAGCAGATGACGCGGGGCCAGGAAAATAATCCTGAGAGTACTCAGTTTACTAGGCATTGTAGACATGTTGTTTTGTTTGTTATTCAGGGGAGACATAGTGCTTCAAAGTGATGGGCTTAGCTTCTGTGGAAGTCTGTATGGCTGAAGTGTATTTTTACAACTTAAATCGTTAAGCTGTGAAGGGTTGCAAGAAGGAGGAAAATGGTAACCATTAATATTTAGGATGTTTTTGTGAACTGACAGAAAGACAAGTTTTAGGGCTTTATGTAGAAGGGAGAGTTCATTTTTGTTGTAATGACTCTTCTTTTTTTTACATATGGCTGTGGCTGTGTTTGAGAATGAGAGCTGAGAGAGAACAGTGTTAGCAGAGTGTTTTGGGAGGTCAGGCAGAATTTCTCTGAAGGAAGATGGTTAGGAACAGGACCACAAGCTAAGAGAATTCAATACAAGAAAGCAGCAGTAGCATATTCTTCCTTAGAAGCATTACTATGTTGTCTAGGTATGATTTTAAGGAGTAAATGTTTTCACTGTGGAACAGTAAAATTTCACTGTGGAATAGTAAAGGAGACAATCTGAATTAGGAGTTAGGTGTACTAGATTTTTATTTGAAAAACTGAATACATGACATTTAGACTTAGTTTATTATGCAAAAGTCACTATGTTACCCTAAAATCCCATGCCATCATAGGTGTTTGCATAATTTTTATTGGTTGTTTCATTTATTATTGAGAGATTAGGAAGGGGAAAAATGACAGTCAGCAACTGGGGTGGACTCCCTCAGACTGCTGTTTTAACCCTGTGGTGCAGTCTGGCCAGTCAGTGGAAGCCAGGCTCACTGAGCCCCGAAGCACAGCCTACAGCCAGGATGCAGTCAGTTTGTAAGAGCAAAATGGGGACAACGAAAAAGGTGAAAGAGAAACGAATGGGGAGGGAACAGGCTTTTGTGAGTAAAAGGTCATGTGGCAGCATGGTTGGGCAGGAACTAGTCTGAAAAAAAGGGACGAGAAACCTCATCATGCTGATTAACCGCATGTTATTAATGTCTTTGAAGATCTGGATTGTAATGGCCTCTCATGAGCTACCAATATTCATTTGTCAGTCTAACACAGTCCTCACTCCTGCCATCCATTCTCTGAGGGGATGTTTCCCTGCGCTCGGGTTGCTGTTACACTTTTGCTCTGAGCTCTTCTCCTGTCCCCTGAAACGCAGTTGGTTCTTATAAGCTGGACATGGGGTCTGTACCATGGGAGGATGCCACTTCAAGCCTGCAAAATGGTGCTCCTGTTTAGTATGGAATATTTTTTTTTCTACAATGGTACAACAGCAGTGACTGAGGCTTTTAAAATTTTTTTTTCCTGTCATCTACTGAAACCTTAATTGGCTTTGAAAGAACTAGCGGCTGTCTGGTTCTTCCTGTCTCCTTGCTGTTCAGTTAATTATTTCCACTTCTCAGGGATTTATAACTTCAGGCTTGTTTGTAATCTCAGACATCTTCCAGAATATTTGCAGCCACTCTAAATTTGCCAGCATCTGCAAACTTCCTAAGCTTATTTTTTTCTTCTACCAACATTGTCTTAAAATATTTAATACCTTATGGCAGATTTCTGCCCAATTCTACTTGATACAACCTTTCAGTTCAATAACTAGTCTTTGCTTATCCTCTTTTTCCCTACCAGTTGAACACTTGGTTTACAGAGATTTCCTCTAAACCATATTTCTCTGGTTTGTTTATGTGAATGGCCTGTATCAAACCCCTTAATGTATGCAGTATATACTCTATTTTCTTTATCCACTTGGCTTATTATCCTGTTATACAAGTAAATTAAGGCAGTTTGACAGAACTTCTTCTTGAGAAATCTACAGTGGTTATGACTTAACAACTTTTATCTTCCATGTACAAGAAATACCTCATGAAGTATAATTATATTAATTTAGATAACAAAAGAGGTGGTGTGTTCTTTATTTTGAGCAGCATTTGTGACCTGCCTCACTCTTTATTTTGGGGGGATTTTGTGCTGAAAAATTAATGAAAAAACTCCAAGTTAATACTTAGAAGTGTTACTTCCTTTGAAGAAAGAGCTCCTCTTTGAAGGAATGTACCAAAATCATAATCCTACATTTTAGTAAGATTAACATTGTTTTTTCTCCAATTTTAATGTAATTGTGGTACCTACTTTAAAGAAAACATATAATTAATCTTTATAAAAATATATTGTCATCATAGCTTTCTATGAAACATTTTACTTACAGACACCAAATGCACTAGGCTCTAGAGAAAATTCGGGCGCTGTGTTGTATTACAGATCTTTATTAATACCCTTATGCAGAATGAAAACAAATGGGTAGGATTTCAAACGTGATGTATTATGTATTTTTAACAACTTTATTTGAGAAGGACAATAGTGTCAGGAATTGGAATAAAATATCACTATATGCAGCGATAGTAAAATAATATAAATTATTTTGATTGGCATTGCTAATCCCTAGTTATCCTAGCGAGTTACTGCAGAATGGATTTGACACATCAAAAGGGTGCTCATTTTGATGCTGATTCAGAGGACTGGCTCCTTCATTGCATTAATGAAAATTATGTACTTATCAGTTTTGCTTCACTGTAGGGAATAGTCTTGCTTTTCATATGGACGAATGTATATTCTTTTATATCTAATAAGACATTCTGCATTCTGTCTATGCCTACTTTGGGTAAAGATGTATTTTTAATTGTGGAACTTTAAAAATAAAATCAATTTGAGAAGTCCCATGTTGTTTAGGAGCTAAATATTGCTGGTTGTGATGGTATTTTGAGGCTTTTGAAAAATACTCAATTTTCAATATTCCATTCATGAATATTGGATTTTTGCACTTTTGATTATTTTAATCAAAATTAAAATGCTTCCTTGAAACACAATAAACTTTCAGATAATCTAGAAAGAGCTCTCAGTGAAGTGGAATATCATGTCCAATGATGCTTACAGAGGGATCTGCTGTATCTTCTCTCAGTGCACGCTACGACATTCAATGCTTGTTTAGAAAATCTCGGCACCTGAGATTCAGTGACTCATAGGCAGCATCTCTTTCTCATCTGGGACATGTGTGTTTCGTGTGTGGTAAGTGAGTATTTCTTGTGTGAGTGATGAACAAAACGTAATGCTGTTTAGCTATAACTAAAGAAGGTGCTTTTGTAAAGAACAAATTCAAGCTATGACAATTTGTGCTTCTAAATCTGGAAATCCTCACTTCAGCTGGGAGTTGAGTAAGGGGGCTGTCCTGCATGTCTATAGGCAGTTTAACTACACATCTAAATAAGGGATAGCAGTTTGCATCCCTCATTTATTCCAGTCACTGATCAAATATTTTGGTGGAGTGTAATGCAAACAAAACCACATGTCTAATCCTTTCCTTACAATGAACAGTAGGCCACATCGTAAAACACTTATGTAGAAAAAGTCCTTCTGAGGCCATTATTCCAGAGCTGAATAAGCCCTGATGGGCTGATTCATGAGGAATGATGCTTAAGTATGTATTTTGCAAAAGAATTCAGGCAACTATACCCCCCCATTACCTACAACCTCAGCCAGTGGGGTTATATGGGATTAGTATGCAGCTGACTTTTTGTCTGCTTTTCTGAATTTCCTTTGACTAAATACCAAATTCCAGAGAGACTTCTTAATAACATATTGCCTGTTAAAACGCAGTGCATATTTATGTTTTAATTAGGACTGGTTTTGGTGCTAAGATTGAAGTTATGATATGTTTCTGTCCTACTTTTTGAAAGCAATTGATAAGTGTGTGTTCTAGGAAGGACAGTGCAATAAGTATGATCATAGTCTTTCAGATTTTACTCACTTTCCGTTTGCTTCCCTTCTGTTCGCTTGGCAGAGACTATTAGGTCCTGGTGTCTTTGGTCTGCTGCTAGGGAAGAGGACAGACCTGCTGCCCTCCTTCCTTTCCCCTGGTCCCGATCTTTCCTCGCAGTACCTCTCTCACCTGTGTGGCCTCCCAGGAATCCCATTAAGTTTGCTTTTTTCCTGGGTTTTTTTTTTGCATGGGTTTATTGCTAGTCCAGACAAGTTGGTTAAATCAGTTTCTGAGCCGCTGAGAATATGAAAGTCAGTGTGAGCAAGCAGCAAGACGGAGCAACCTGGAGCCAGGGAAGGAAAGGAGATGGGCAGAGGTGGAAAAAGCTGCTGCTTCTTAGAGAGATGTGTGAGACTGGCACAGCCATGGTGTTTCCCCACATCCACGCACCACTGCCACCTCGCTCCCTGTCCCTGCTCGCTCTGCAGCGCCTCACTTGAAAAGTTGGAGTTTCCCTCTTCTTGGAGAAGTTCTCATTAAGCTATGGATATGGCAGGAAATTGAACATGGTAAAAACATATCAAAAAGTAAGACAAAATAAAATTAAATAAGAAAATCAATAGCTTCATGCAGCTGGATTTACAGGTTTTAAAAGCAGGCCAAAATGAGGTACTTAAGCTTCCTTACTCAAAACAGAAGAATGGAGTAGCTTAAAAGTCTTGAAAGCTGTCTCTTTCTTCCTGAGCTTTTTTCTGATCCCAGTTTTTCTGTATCTGTTTCACTGTATTATTTACAAGCAACTTTTAAAATACGAAGACAGTGCAATTTAGTGAAGTACAATTCAACATCCTGTTAAAAGATGCTTCACTGTGGAAGAGAACATCCTTCATGACCACACGTTTAACTTAGATACAACCTTCAGCATTGACTGCTGAGGCTGGATTTGGTCAATCCTCTGCATAAACTTGTCAAACAGTGTTTGGATTTGTTTTGCCTTCTCCTTTGGTCAAAAGCTATAGTTTATGGACAGAGGCTGGTCATGGTGGTCACAAAAAAGTTCAGTTTTTCATATGAAAAAATATGTAGATTTTTCTACTAACATGTTTCTTTTTCTTTATTCTACAGAGACCTAAGATTTAATAGGATTAAAGAAATCCAGCCTGGAGAGTTTAGACGGCTTAAAAACCTGAACACACTGTAAGTTCTTTTTCAACCCTAAGGCACTTTCCTCTTCTGATTTAATATGATTAATTTGATAATGTGCCAAAGTTGCTCACTTTTCACAGGTAAGTAGTCTCACAAATTTCAGCTGTAGAATTTACACAGGTGAGAAAGTGAGGTTTAGGCCCAAAGTGTTTGAAAGCAAAACCAGGTATATGTCTATTAAAATAAAAAAGGAAATTATTTACATCCTCATGTTTTATTAACATTCTTTAATTGGAAATATGAAAAATACAGACCTTTACTATATCATTTTTTCCAAATTGTGCTAAATTACTTTGGTGGAATATCACGTAATAAATCATGGAGTTACAACAAAGCTATTCAAAGGCTCAAATATGCAAATGTGTTGCAGTTACAAAATATTTGACAAACTCTGTTTTGAACTTTCCTATTCTAATGTGCTCACCAGGACTGCCAGAAGTTGGAGGGTTTTGTTCC